CGTAAATTTGAAAACCCATCTTCAAGCTGCGCATGCTCACTGGCGAGCTCACCGGTACGTTACGTTACGATACGAGCGAAGTGGAAAACGGCCTTTAGGAATCAATGATATAAACAAGGAAGCAAACTCGAATACAACTCACGATGAGAAGCCAATTTGTGTCGACCGTAACGGTTTCAATGTTTAAAATTAAAAATTAAATACATTAGGCCAGTCAAGTCGGGGCGTTAATGCTACGAAATGTCGCAGCATGAGCTCCACCTTTGAATTTACTATATGAGTAAATTCTTAAACACATCCGAATTTATCATTATGATAAATTCGCGGCAAATTTTGAATTTATCATAATAATAAATTCGCGGCACCTAACACTAACCCTAACCCCAGCCCTAACCACTAACCCCTAACCCTAATTTTTTAACTTATTTAAAAATCTAACTTTTTAAACTTTTCTTGCTTTTTTAAACTCTTTTAAAACTTTTTTAAAAACTTTTTTTTTTTTAAAAACTTGAATAACTTCGGAAGTGTTTAAGAATTTACTCATATAGTAAATTCAAAGGTGGAGCTCATGTTGAAACGTCGCTATTAAAAACTATAGCAATTTATAAGAAGACTCTAGGACTTTTATTTCACAAAATTTTTCAATGGCTATGTATGTACTTTAGCCTTAGACATATGATGTGGCCGAATTTCAAGCTAAAATTCGTTTTAACAAGCACATACGGCTTCAAAATAAAACATCGCCGTGTTGTAATTTCATCCCTTGTCACATTTCTTATTTCAGTGCGAAATAACGCGTGTATCCTGCGAACGGGCTGTCAGGTTCGAAAGGCGGTGCTTTTATATAAGCTAATAATAGATCTTAAATAAATAAAAAAACATACAAATCAACTTATATGTTGTCATTATATGCTCGACTATAGGAGTATTTTTATTATTATATGACATATTAGTGTAATGTAGTGAAATAATCAATTAAAACGGCACAGATCAACGCTTGGGCTCCCTGTGGTTATGTAAGCGAACATTTCATTGATCAATCAGGGTATTGTGTAGTTCGCCAAATTAAAACGTCAAAGGCTGAAAGACGAATAATTTCCCCATAATTAGGCCATCAGAAAATCTTTGTGATGGGAAAGATAGTGTTTCGCATACTTTTAGCATGGATAATAAAATAAATGGATAGGAAACTAGCTGACGTGACCTAATGTTTTTACTGTGATTGATGGCGTGGTTGGATGCCTCAACCTAGTCACAGAATAAAGACATACAGAAGTGTAACTTCCATTACAAAACCGTAAGGCGCTTTTTACCGAAATAGCTGGCGGCCATGTTTTTAGCAAGTGCCCTAAAGAGAGGCATTCACCCCCCTGGAATATTAAATTTTCAATATGTTTTCAGGGGATGACTGCCTCTCTTTAGGGCACTTGCTAAAAACATGGCGGACTGAAAAAATCCCTTACGCACTTTTAATAAGAAGATACACTTCTGTATGTCTTTATTCTGTGACCTAGTTGAAAATCAAATTCTCAAAAACGGCATGTTTAGCAATAATACAGCTAAACATTTTAGTCAAAGAGCAAATAAATATAACCACGCCATTCTACGATGATAACTCTAAGTATTCCCAGTCAATTTTAGTAAATATTTCAAGCGCTAAACAGTGAAAAATACATCGCAAATTTCGTTAAAATTTGTGACGCCAATTTCATAGCTACAAATGTAAAAAAGTACAAAACAAAGACGAAAAACATTTACCTTGAATACTTTGTCGTGGCTTAGGCACGTTTTTAAAACAATTAGACCAGTTTACGCTTCAAGATCACCCTTTTAAAGTGGAAAATATAGCAAAACAACAAATATGCCGAGAACTTTGGTAACATTCGCAATACGCGTGACGTCACGTTTTTCAACAAGGATGCAGTCAATGACGTCAGAAGTTTCCAATCCATTTATTTCATTATCCATGCTTTTAGTACGCTATCTTGTAAAATTTAAAAGCTTCTCATGTTTAACCTTTCCCTACGAAAGGGCACTGCAAAGGTACCAGTTGAGATTATAAAGTTGTACTGATTGTAAATAGAAATTGTGATTCAGGTATGGGCCTACATAGACATCCACTATGAAACAGTGAAAGTGTGAATGGAATTCTTTTTGTACCTGTAACATGCTATTGTATAATTTATAAATGCTAACAGAAGTCATCATAAAATATTTTGGATGTAAATCTTTTCTAGAATTTGTGTTATCCAACTGTTCTCTCTAGTTAGCGGTTGCTGCATTTGATAAAAGCAAAAGTGTAACTACTGTATGATTATATCTGCATGTTTTGCCTCGACAGCTAACATGTATAAGGATATAGGTGTGCTGTCTCGCTGCGCCCGGCAGCAAGGACTAAAAAGGATATTCAGTGTTTCTATATTGTATTGATAAGTGAATATATCTTCTACAGTATGTTCTCTTTCTATACTATAGAATACCGACTACATCAAAGTGTTAGAGCCTCAGTTCGCAAACACAGCTGGATACCTATATTTTGGTCACACTGGAAATCACTACATGGCATTGGCTCCTTTGAAGGTTTGAAATTTCCTATCTTCAATGGAATGATCCGGATAATTATATATTTAACAATTATACCATGAGCTCGAGTCGTATATGAGCTGATAGCCGACGAGGACTGTACACATGCAGTATCTGCGAGCCGGGAAAACATTTCTTGTGAGATACACTGAAAATGTGCTTGGTGTATGCAGTAAATCCTAGAGCACCTACAATATAATTAAAAAAACGCTTGTTGAAATCAACTGCATGGGAAGATACAGTATTTTAAATTTACCTATTGCTAATAAAGTATACATTATACTGATACAATGGCATTATATATGTTCAAGTATCATAGACAAGTATAATGGAAAACCTTAATTCAAATATTGTCAACACTACTGTAGAAAAACTGAAATGAACTACTATAAGTATTTAAAAAGTCATAAGAAATGGAATTAACCCACCCTTAATATTGCCACTGCTTTAGATACAATATACAGCACAAGTCGGAACGGGTGTTGAAGAGAAAGAGGAAATTCTTCCTCATGCAGAAGCCTGCGAGACTCGAGGGCAGCTTATCGACTTCATGGTGATAAATAGCTCGACAGACTCGGATGAAAAGTCTACTTCATCAGTATCAACCAAGACTTTCCCGGTATTGTACATTGGGTTTCCTTGTGTAAATTCGTAACACTGCATGATATTGTACATATTGTTGTCTCTGGTCTGGGCTAGGATTATTTTATGGTAATAACCAATTACTTCAATGATATAAAATAAGATTTGTGCCGCGTTAATTGAGATACTGGGCAGTATAATAGAGGCTAAAAAATACGAAAATTTTCTCGATGGGCACCCTCCAGACCCCCAAAATTTGGCCTTTTGCAATTCTACGGGTCTGGCCCAGTTCTTGACATATAAATTTAAATCATTCAAGGACGATTGCAAGAGGAAATTTTCAGCTAGTTATATATGGTGCATGGGGAATGTATGTAAGCTATACAGAACTATACGCAGTCGGCGCTGTTCAACATAGCGTTAAGTTTTCCTTGTACTTGGCGTTAATTTTTCCGTGTTTTTGTAGAATCGGTACCAATGTCAGCAATGTTCAGTTTCTTGTCGCTCAAAAAAGAAGCTTGAGAGTCATGTTCTAAACAGCCACGGAAGCAAAAAGAATAAAGCTGAAGATTCAGAGGTAAAAGAAGATTCAGTATCTAACTTATCTTTCTTAAATTCATACAATTGATGATTCATACAGTCACCTAACCAAGGGACAAAGGCAGGCGAACAAGAAAATGATTACTGCACTTGTTGAACAAAAACTACCATTAATTGATTATATCAATGCCCTTGTCCGGCACTGTCCGAACTAGTGACACTCCCCCCCCCCCTGGACATCCGCCATGCCTCGCCAAAATACACGCAACCTTGTATATATCAAGAACAAAAAACTTTTCTTACTTTTAGCACTTTTTTTATAAATATAAATGTGAATACAAAAATACTTATAAATGCAGAAAGCTATTATTTCACGACACTGTTGATGATGAGGGAAACGATTGCCCGAAAAATGTCGGGTATTTTTGGCGGGGGACTGCAATGCTGCATACCCCCCTCCCCCGTCTCGTGCACCTATGACAGTACGTTGCAGTATGCCAGAATATGTGAAATTAACAATCTTAATATACGGCCACAAGGTTTATCTGACTTGTTATTCTCATTTCAATGGAATACAACTGACATTTAGCTACTTACATAACTCTCACTCACTTGTCCGAATCCATTTACAGTATCAGCATGCAAGTAACCAAAGTTTTTCGTTTCAGGTATCATTTGTTGACCTGACGAAATCTCCCGTCAAAAATAAAGACTGTAAAAAGTAAGCAAAGCCTTTATTTATAATAAGTATTAATAATAAAATTACGCTGAAGTGTAATTCCTCGAAAAGAAAATCCAGAAACTAAAATTTTGCATTCTTAGCTTGCACGTTTACTTCCACGTTTACCTGTTATTGCTCTTATAATTCACCTGGACATCATCAGCTCAAGTCGCCTTTAAATTTACCTGAGTAGATACAGGCAAGATACAGTACGCAATACTGCCTGCTGACAAGTGTGCAGTACAGTAGTATAATATAGCATGTATCCTGACGTTCCTTTCGTTAGCATTAGCCGTGAGTAAGATCTGCCTGTGTATGTGCAATAAAAGTTACCTGAACCAAAAATTTATTTTCATGTTGCTTAGGATGTACAGTAGAGTAAGCACGAGTAGTAGTGATGAAGGTGACGGTGATGTAATGCTTAACGATAGAAGAAAAAAACAAAAAAAAATTGGCGAGTACTATTGGTCCAATGTCAAGCCACAGACAGTGAAAGATCTTCCAGAT